GAGAGGGGGGGAGGGGCCGGGGTTGGCTGATATTGAGGGTTTGTTATTTTTTCTTTCTTTTTCTTTTCTTACCTTGTTCCCCTTTCTATTTATTTTGTGTTTATTTTTTTTTGATTTTGGAAGTCTTGTTTGTTTTGGGGAGGTGAAAGGGACTGATTGAAATGCGATAGCAATCTGGGTCTTCCACTGGCTCAAGAATCTCAAAGGCGCCCTACCACCAACATACATCTCCGCCACGTACTTCCCCAAGGTCTTCGCATGGATCGAGCGGTTCTCAGCCGCTGAAAGGGCAGCAGCTTCCCAACTGGGGAAGCTGAGAACCATCAAGGGTCCCGAGGCTTTGGAGATCGTCTCTTCCTCTGACTTTGCGGAGGGTCTGCATCAAGAGGGGAATATTGAGGATCCAACGGGCTTGAAACTCGGACAGGAAATCGAGGTTTGGCCAATTGATTCGGGGTTCAGGAACAGAGATCGGGGGACGCTGGTGAGGCTTGATGGGGAAGAGGTGGTGATTGAGAGGGTTAATGGGAGGGGGGTGGTGGTTAGGGTGCATGCTCCCAGACATGGGTTTAGGGTGAGAGTTGTTGGGGGTGAGGAGTCGAGGCTTTGATTGAGGGTTGCTTGGGAAATAATGTAGCTGTGAGATGTTTGTTGTATGTAACAAGCGACAAGCGACCTGAGAAACGAGAATCTGGAATTCTCTCTCATCTGGATCGAAGAATCAAAGTACGTACTTGCGCCAAAGGTCTGGACTCTGAGTCTCTCTGAGATGATTACATGAAGAGTCTTGTTTGTTGAGGGCTAGTTCTTTTTTTTTGAAACTTGATACTCGCGATCTTCAGTATATGTCTGCGATGTTGGATCTTCCCTCGAGATCGATATCACGGAGGTCCCACTCGCCTCTTCAAGTGTTACTTATCTCACGCTTTCTCTCACGCTTCCCTACTTTCTAGTCCAGAGCTATGTGGGGAAGGTACTGATATCAAAGCTACAAGTAGAATAGGAATAGAAAAGGATATTTATAGATCGAGCTATTCTATGATAGCTGGCATGGCGCTAGGAATGTGCCGGTCGGTACTGTACGTCGAGTGGAGTTTTGGGAACTGTCCAGCTACGTACTAGCTGTAGTGCAGTGTACTGTACTAGGCGGAAAATCTAGTGTTGTACCATACTGTACAGTAGAACCAGAGGAATGGGGTAAATTCAAGGATTCAAAAGTTTGGAAGTGGGGAGACGAGTAGTTTGTGACCGAAGCTGAGTCTCTCATCCAAGGAATTTCCCGAGCTCTAACAGAAGTACAGTACAGTTAGCTGAAGAGTTCTTTGACGAGGCTCAGCTCTGTGGGATATTGATATTGATATTGGTATGAAAAGTTAAAAGTTGAAAGGGAGTTAGTAAGTGGATATCCGAGTAACTGCGCAAGAACCCGTAGGTTTGTAGGTTTTTTGTAGGTATTTTGTAAGATGCTGATGCTCAGCTCTGGGTTTATGTGATTGAGATTAGATTAGTGCAGTTTTCTTTGATATGGGCATTTTGTCGTCAAGGGATTTTCGGATTTTCGGCGGTTTTGGAGTTGGTTGGTTGGTAAGAGCTTTATGTTAAGAGCATGGGCTTAAGCTCGCTCGCTCGCTCTAGAATAGTTCCGTTCCGTTCAGTTCAGTGTAATATGGGTAGTAAAGGACTTTCCCGAAGGTTCAAGGGTTAGTTCTAGGTTGGTATTAGTATCAAGAGATAGGTCTTAGGGGGTAGGAAAGGCTTGGTTCAGTTTTGGATGGGTTGAGTGTGCGAAAGGGGGTTTGCGGTTGTAGTACGAGTATGCTGAGGATAGGTAGAGATAAGAGATAGAGGTGGAGAGGTGGAGAGGTGATTTGGAGGTATGAGTTAGTAGGTTAGACGGATTGGAGCTGGACTGAACGAGCCTCTTTTGTTGTGGGAATTGCAGAAATTGCTGAGTTTTGTTTTTGTAGTAGAGGGAGCTAGTTGTAGCAACTTGCCTTGCCTACTCGTGGTTAAATAGGATAGCGTAGTCTGAACTAGTCTTATTCGGGGATGTCTTTTTGTTAGTATTGGGGGGTTTAGTTGTACTAACTTAACTTGCCTACTCGTAGTTAAATAGCATAGTATAGTTTGAACTAGTCTTATTCGGGAATGTATTTTTTTAGTATTAGAGGGAGCTAATCATAGTAATTTAGCTACTTAAAGGTGATTAGAATAGAGTATTTTAAACTATGGGGATAAGATAGACTAGTTGGCCTTTTTACATTTACATTTTCTCTTTCTCTTTTATATTTATTTATAACAAATCTATTTAGTCTTACGAGCACTCTAAATCTTTATTCTACCCCAAAGGGCGAGAATTGACCAAGTCTTGCACCCACTTGAGCTACGAGTCAAGAAACGATGCGTATTTCCCCCCCTCCCCCTATTCCATTTAGGAAGCTGGAAGCCGAGGTCGAAACGAATGCGGATTAAGCCTTGACTTCCGAGACAGATGCAAAGCAAGCTGACTCGATCATCAACTCGCACTTCGTACAAGGAAAAAAGATAAGATGAATTTTGCTAAGAAAGGAATAATCTACAGTAGAGGTGATTCCAGCATTCGTAGAATCGACAGCATGAATGGTAGTATGCCACGAACCAATCAACAGCTTCCCGTCTAGTGTCTGGTCAATAGAAGAAAAATGGATTTCCAAGCAGCTTCCCAAAGCGTGAAGACACTTGTCCCCATTCGAGACTAGGTCGCTCTTGGCGAGCCGTGATTGGTGCATATTCTCGTGCCTCAGGCACCCACGCGAATTGGGTGGCAGATATGACGACACAAGATGACGCTGCTTTGTTTCTTCATCCCCAACTTTCTCCCGACTCTCTCGATCATCCAAGCCCAGCAGCCCAAGACCAAGATACTGACTTACCAGACCAGACCCAAGAGCCGCACCGCAGCTGTAACCGGTCTACTCACGGCCATCACCCCCATCCCATAATAATTACCTGCATTATTCCATCCTCTGCACCCAACCCGGATTTTGTGCGTCGTTGGCCGTACAGCTCAGCGTCCTCAGGTCCAGCGTGTCGAAGTGTAGAAAGAAGAAGCTTTTTCCTGCCTGCGTTGCGCTGCGCTGCGAGCTGAATACGTCACCGACAAATTCTTCGAAGCGCCATCCACCGTCGCACTTTCGCCGACGCAGACGCAGATATCCGAAAGCGCGTCATACCTGTGCTGTACTGAAATCAGCAATTCACAGAGCATCGTCGCATCGTCGCATCGCCAGCAGCAGACCAGCAGCAGCATTGGCTTCGCGCGTTGCTGCCCCGCTGCTACGAAGGACTCCCGTATCCTCTTGCGACTCGGCCCTCGAAAGTGAGTTTGGTCAGGGGCTGTTACGCCATCAGAGCCCACGATCCGGCCTCGCACTCGCTGCACCCCCAAGTGCTCTTCTCCACACTCCTTCACTCATCTCAACCTTCCACGTCTGTCGTGCGGCGCGCATCGCATCCACTTCAGCGGCCTCGTCGTGCCAGTGCCATCACCATCACCATATCGCACTCGTCGCTGCCCATTATCGCCATCGGTGCTCGTACCGCAAATCCCCCTCGGGTTGTCTGGAAAGAGTGGTAAGTCGGGGTGTTTGAAAGAGAAGGTTTTGGTGCTGAGCTTGCCTGGTCCCCCCCGAACTAACGAGTCTTCCCCTAGCATCATAGGCAGGTAGAGCCCGTACCACCTCGCGCCTCCGCCCACAAACTACCGTCTCTGTAAGGTGACCTCATATACCTTCGTCATCCTTCGACTACTCGACCACATTCAATCCACCCACACGACCACGGTCACTGCCACCATCGCATATACGAAAAATATCGTCATTGGCGTCTCTGTTCCCACAACGACGGCCTGTTGACACCGACTGCTCCTATTCTCCCCCGCGCCTTCGTCCCGAAATCAACCATGGGAAATCCTCCTATCGACGCTTCTAACAAAGGCGCATCTACCTCACCTGTGCAACGCAACTCGGAACCACCAAAGGCACCTGGTATGTATCATGTCTCCTCATACATCCTTTCTATTGTCGCTGCAGCACTGCATATATACTCTCAATAGCGACAGTGACGTCGCCACCAGTAGCGTCCAAAATTGACGCGCCAATGGTCGACTGAATCAGTGGCAAACCCGTGGCATGCCTCCGTTTCAACCAGCCCAATTCATCCTGCACAATTTGATATACTCAGTAAAGAACGATGCTGACTCTGCGGGATAGCTGCCGATGTCAAGATAGATCCAAACATTGAGAACACGAATGCAGACCCCCTTGGACCTCCACCCCGACCAGGTGCTGGAGCCGCATCAAATGCACCACCATCCGACTACTTCTCAGTAACCCATACAAATATCGCAACGGAAACAAATCCATTTGAAGCGTCATTCGCATTCGGCAGTGGAAGCAATACTAACGGCGGACAAGTGCAGACGCCGGGCGGTACGAAACTTCCCTCTGTTGCTGCTCTTACCTCACCAGCTGGACTACTCGGTAGTGGAGTCACACCGGGTTTTTGGGGAGGTCTCCGTTCAGGACCCCTAAGTCCGGCAATGTTATCAGGGCCCCAGAAAGGGGACGATTACTTTAGCGACGGGCATCATCTTCGTGGAGGATTCCCAACCCCCAATGAGTCTGGTCTTCGATCAGGCCTTACACCCGGCGGTAGTGGATCTATGTTTCCAGAGCCGAGTCCCAATTCCCAGGCACTTTTCATGGCTGGTGGTACTACTCCTACCACTTTGGACTTTCATCGGACTGCTATGAGTGCTGCCGCACAAAAGCGAGAGCAGGCATCGCAACAAGTTCACCAAAACGTGACTTCTCAGCCGCAAGATCAGCCCAACGGATTAGAGGTTAAGCCTCCGGCGACTAGCCAATTCGATTCTCATGACGCCAATGATGCCGCCAACGGTCTCTTCTTACTGGCCCAGGCCCGTAATGGACCACAACCCACTAATCACTACGCGATGGCTCCTCAACTACCTGTTCACGCACATCCTCAACCTAATATTCAGATGGCCTCAACCTCTGCCGAGACTTCTCCCCATATGGCTAATAGACACAACGGCTCTGTTAGCACTAACTCCGGCCGTGGAGTTAGTGAAATGAGCTCTGATGATAACAATGACTCTCAAAACCGGCCCAATACCCGGGGAAAAGGAAAGAGAGTAAATCAACCACCACCCTTTCAAACCAACGGACGTCGGAAAGCTACAGACGAAACCCCAACCAAGGGACATCCATCTAAGAAAGCAAAGGGTAACAATAACGCTATGCAATCTGAGCCACAGTCGGAAGAAGAATTAGACATGAGTAAAGAGGAGTACAACGCCAACGGCAAGAAGATGACGGATGAAGAGAAGCGGAAGAATTTCCTGGAAAGAAATAGGTAAGTCACTCTAACCATAAATCATAATTACGTCATCTGACGATCGCATAGGGTTGCGGCATTGAAGTGTAGACAGCGCAAGAAGCAATGGCTGGCAAATCTCCAACAAAAGGTTGAGATATTTAGTAGTGAGAACGACCAACTCAGTCAGCAAATATCCTCATTACGAGAAGAAGTTGTCAATTTGAAGACTATCCTCATGGCCCATAAGGACTGTCCAGTGTCAGCATCACAGGGTATCTCAGGAATGGGAATGCATCAATTCATCGAAGGTTACGGCACTCAGGTGAACCCATACGGTCTCCAGGCTGGCCCAATGCCAACACAACAGCAAGTCCTGGCTGCTGCTTCACAGGTCATGCAGGACCGACGATTTTCATAACATTCTTGTACAAGAAAATTTGGGGGACTTCAAAGGTGCTTATCGGCGTATGGAAAGAGTGTTTGGGAGAGTTTCGACTTCGAAGTGGTCCCAATAAGGCCAGCGACTTGATTTGAAACGGAGGTCTATTATAACGATTCAACGACGATGTTTCTCGAATGGTAAAAATGCATCGCAACAAGCTCATCAGTAAAGCTTCGGTACCTGCTGGCTTGTTGAAATTGGGATTTCTGGCGTTCTGGTAATGTCAGCCGCCCGGAAGACCATTGGTTGGCATTGTGTAATTTTGAGCTTCACTCGACATTCGCTCCGTCAACTTTTTTTTTCCTCTTTTCAATTTGTTATCTAGCATTTCTGTTCTGTGTTGGAGTGCTGCGCTGTATATAATTGGAGGGCATGCTTACATATCGATTTGGGTTGTTTCTGGCGCGAGAATGGTGGCATGATTCCATCCGGGGCGTACAGGTTTGCTTTCCAAGAACCCTCAGCGTCTTTTTATTCTTTTCGGGGGAGCATTGTAAGATGGATCGATACACATGGCAACAAAGGGACCCCACGAGACAGTGCAAGCAAATAAAACGAGCATTGGATGTTTTTGAAATGATACTTGTTCCATTGTGAATGGATGTTGTGAGGAACATCGTGAGAGATGCGGTCGTCGCTTTTAGGGCGTGAGCTGGCAAATCGTCTGCATCACCAAGCCCGCTCGCTACGTTCTTGAATCAGGGACGTCAAGAGGTGGGAGACATGATTGCGGGAACCATTGTGCCGGAAAAGTAATTTTGCGTGACACGAGAAAGTGCATGCGGAATCAATGGCAGCCTTCATTCCGAGTTTCTTCTAACGGATGTTCTTGTACAAGATGATTTAGAGTAGACTGGCTGAATAGATACACTTGTTGTAGGCTTATCATATCTTTGAAAAGTGACGTAGCTTGTAGACTTGTTACCGAGAGGTGAATGCAGCCTAATTCGAACCTTCCTAGTGAAGAGATGTACCTTGGGTAACTACCTAGAAAGCGCCCATTTTCTTTCCAATAAAAAACACTCAAAATACTTTTAACCACTTATAAGAAATTATACTCAAAAAGTCCATCGAGTCAAAATATAATAAACATCCATCACCATCCTCGTCCATATTGAGGTGTCGAGTGCTGGTGAGTGTGCAGTGGGTTCAGAGCTGAGAGCCAGATCCCCCGGATTCGCTAGCGCCAAATGAGGCAAGCGGAAGGTGCACTGTGCAGGGATCCCGAAAGCAAGCGCGACTGCCCAAGGCTTTCATATTCTCAGCCTCTCAACCCAACCAAAATTCAAGACCTCAACATCTTCCCATTCTACTTCCGTACCTTGCTCAACCGGCGTGCAGGTATCACCCACTCTGGCCTCTCATCATCCACTCTACCAGAACATCCTCTCACATACCTTCCTCTGCCGCGGGCGGTACCTTTCGCATCAGCGCCGCCACTGCATAATCTGATCTGTCACGAAATATTGCCTTTTCAACTCTCCACGCTTTTCCGGCAACCCGTCGCATCTCGAACGACAGCCCATCCACTTCCTCAAGATGGTACATCGTCACAGGAGGGACTTAGCTGCAAGTCGAAGACGGGTTGAGGATGCAGGCGACGAGGAGAGTGTCCTGGACGCTGGCTCCCTGAGTGATGATTCGTTGAGTGAGGGGTCTATACTAAGTGAGGAGGACGAAGCTCGAGAAGGAGATGAGGTTATCGCCAGCGAAAGACGCTCTGCCGGTACTGCAGGCTCCATCAAGCTCAATGGCAATGGAGAAACCCTGGGAAAGGATGGCCAGGCAGCATCGACAAACGGCCACCCAAAGAAACCGGCCACAAATGGCAACACCGATATGGATTTGATGCTGAATGGGCTCAAGATCTCGGACCACGGAATTCCTGATGAGATCCAGTACGAGGATCTCCGAGACGACGACGACATCCATGAGGAGGAAGAAGAACGAGAGCCGTCACTTCCAATAGTGAAATCCACCGCTCAGATGGACCAACCCCAAGAGTTGCCCCACGAACGACGAAGAAGAGAGCATGAGGAGTATAAAAGGAGACGAGATGCGGATCCTGCGTTTGTACCGAACAGAGGGGCCTTCTTCATGCATGATCACCGTCATTCTGGTCCTGCTGCCAATGGCTTCAGGCCTTTTGGAAGAGGTCGAGGGGGGCGGGGAAGACCAGGCATTGGAGGTCCTTATGCTCCGTCAAGGTATGTCCGCCTTTGGAGAGGAGATGTATTAATGATTAACCAATTTTCTCTAGTCAAATGGCTCAACCTTTTGAACCCACCACTGATGCACCTTGGGCTCACGATATGCACGAAGTGATAAGTGAACCCCATCCTCGCCATGCCCCGTCATCCGGATATCCCCAAGGCCCGGCAATTCTACCTTCACGAGTTCCGATCAGCGCTCCTTCGACAGCTCCACCAAATAGAGCTCTATCAACTACGAAGCATATTGGCAATGTACAAATTAGAGTATTTTTGGCAAATATGGAGAAGCCGATTGTGTTCCCTGGAATACCGGTCAAGCAGTATACCCGTCTGCCAGACCACCGTCCTCCAATGCGGCGAGATAAACCAGTTCGGATTTCTATACCGGACTATCCTCCACGCTACATATTTCCTGCGATTGATAGATCATTCATCTTCATCCCTCGAGCTATGCGTCCTAACCAGCAAGGATTTGGTGGGCGGGGCAGAGGCCCCAGATCCGCCTTTGGATCAATTGGTGGCTTCTCTCGACGTACCAGTGTTTTTGGTGGCAGTGTATATGGCAGTACCTATGCACCGAGTGTGGCAATGAGTCGCCGCTCTTCACTTGCGAGGGAGGTCAATAGGGATAGTATCATATCCCCGAACGGCTCCACAATGTCCGCAAGACCAGTTGTCAAACTACCACCGGCAAGTCATTCGGCCCAACCAACTCAATTCGTTCCTCCACACCAATCCCAGGATGGACCTCCTCAGGTTGTAGTTGTTGATGAACAACCTCGACCCCAAACTTATCCTCTACCTCAAAAGCCCACTTTCCGTGAAAATCGACCAAACCCTATCCCCATGCATCAACCTCGCCCACAAAAGGCTGTATCTGTTGCAGATATCGAATCACCTGCCACCTTATCGTTCAACCCCCCACAACAACATCAGCAACCTTTCCATCAGCAGGTTCCTCTTCAAGTCAACGGGAACAGTTATCCTCCAGATGGTATGATGCACTCTCGCAACCCATCCTACCCCAGTCAGGCATCTACGGGTACACCACTATCGCAGATACCAGAACGAGCAATCCACGCTCAGCCATTCCAGCCAAACCCATATCAACAGCAGCCACAACCACAAAACTACTATCCACAACCTTACCAAGTAATGCCTCCTCCGCAACCGCCACAGGGCTACTACTACCCTCAGCAGCCATATAACCCTGCTATGGCTCAGCCTGGTGGCCCACCTCAGTATATGCCTGCACAACCGCAGCATCAACCGCAACCAACATCATTTCCTCAACCCAACCAGCAGCCAGACACATCGCAGCCTAATCCACAAGGGCTTGTGGCTCAGGAAGTTAATGGAATGGTATACTATTATGACGCGGCACAAATTCCCGCTGTGGCCACCTTCCCAGCGTATTCACAGCCTCCGGCTTATCCTATGCCGCAAACAGGTGGAGTGATGGGTATGGGAGGTATGATAACACCAAGTCCCGATGGTTTCTACTATCCGCAAGCCCAGCCAGGAGTTGTTTACTATCAACAATAATTGGTGCTTGAATCATCCTTTTCTGTTATATTCCTTTTCCCGTAATGCTTTCAGCGATCTTGTCTGGGACGTGGGTTTTTATGTCTTTTTGTTTTTTCCAGGAGAGGTCGCTCCCTCCATTCCTCCGTGTCACCTTATATGTTTTCGGGAACATGTAAGAGAGGACTATATTCGAGGTTCATTTGGAGTGTCTTCCCCATGTTTTTACCGTTCACACGGTTTCTTCTTGGGGTATCGAATTGGGACTTGGAGAAGGGATGATGACGGGAGGGTTTCCTAGTCTAGCATGCGGCTATCACATTTTTCAGCTGCTTCTTGTTTTTTCCTCTTCTTGGTATGGTTTTCTCGGTATCCTGTCTGGGTGGTTCTTAGTTGCATGATGCAGTTGTGGACTTTTTTAGGTTTGTTTTTTTTCCCTCTCTGAATCCCGTCTCGACATTGTTTGTTTGTTAAGATGGAGGGAGTAAAATGCCTTTTTTCCGGGCTCTGTTCTGTCCTTTTTTTGCTATATTTTATGAGGCATTGAATGGATTCGGTCTCCTTCTTCCTTTTCTTTTTTGGACCCATGGGATTCCTTTTTTCCTCTCTCCCTCTTTTGGGCGTGGGAAGCGAGTTGGTTGTTGTGTTTTTTGAGAGGGAAAGGGGGTGTGGGGTCGGGGTCGGGGGATGTTTAGGGGTAGGATTACTCTTATTGATTTGATGGGTGTGGTGCGGTGAAGGGGGGACGCGGGATAGTGGACAGCAGAGCAGATAAACAATATGAACAAATGATTCTGATGGGCCTTTTTTGGGGTATTTACTTCTTGGGTGACCAAATGATCGTTCTTTGGTTTGGAGTTCTACTTGTGGTGTTGCATACGTGAATTTTTTGTGATGTGAGGATGAACTCGAGCGGCTTCTAGGCTTCGCTGGTTTGCAGTACACCCTTGGTGACTGAGTTTGGCATTTGTGAGCTGTGTGAGCTGTATGACTACTGTGTGACTGTTTGGTGAGATGGGCGCGGGGGAGGGGTTGCCGAGTAGTGGAGGAGTCAGTCTATTTGAAGTCACGGGGGATAACGTGAGATCAGATTGGGGATCCATGGATGCCTAGGTACCCAAATTTATTGAGAGTCAACGGGCGGGGAGTGCAGTACATGTAAGTACCTACTGTACCTGTAAGGGGTTTAGGTTACGAATGCCTGTTTTTGTTCACCGGCAGAAAGTGTAGGTGTGTAAGGGGGGTTGAGGTTGCTTGGGTGGGTAGGTAATCGTAATTGTCATCTATTATTGCCTTTTTTTTAACTCGGTGAGGTGAGGGGAAGAGGATAAAGGCTGTCGTGCTTGGGACGGGATGATTGACTCGTGACGGGATGATTGACTCGTGACGGGATGGGATGATTGACTCGTGACGGGGTTGGGAGGGNGGGGAAGAGGATAAAGGCTGTCGTGCTTGGGACGGGATGATTGACTCGTGACGGGATGATTGACTCGTGACGGGATGGGATGATTGACTCGTGACGGGGTTGGGAGGGAGGTAGGGAGGGAGGTAGGGTGTTTAAGTAGAGTTTTTTCTTTTTTGGGATGTGGGGAGGTGGGATTGGAGGTTTAAGGGGAGGAATGAGGATTTTTTGATGGAGTTGATTATGTAGTTGTACTAGAATGATTGATTGATTGATTTTATTATTCCCTGGGTTTGAGATGTTTGTAGTGGCTGGATTTGTTGAGAGGGTGTAGAGGGTGTAGAGTAAGATACGAGTACGGTATCTGGGATGACTCTTTGATTGGGATGGTTATTTGAAAGTTATGACTGCATGTTCATCCGTACTTGTATTCCAAGGTAGATGATCGTATCAGTAGGTTTATAGTACAAGTGAATATATAAAGTATAGCTGTTTTCCCTCTTTGGAAGGCCATACCTACAGTCCCTTCGCAAAAGTAGCAAGATGTTTCGCGACCCCAGAACGTGTGGAAAAAAGCAGTTCACAGATAAAATAGCTCGTAAAATGCCCTGCAACACAATAGTAGATGGTCCTTGTTTCTTGCTACATTTGCGAAGGGACTGTACCTAGTAGGTGTGGAAAAGTGAAGGATCTCGGATTCGGCTTCCGAGACGAACGACCTAGTAAGCGCAGGAGATTGAGATATAAATATTCCCGCTTACCGGTACGAAGTACTTGTACTTCAATGTTGAACAACACTTACCGAGGTATTTATCTTGGGTAGTCATAGTGATGGGTGGATATGAGGCTGTGGTTTCGAAGTGAGGTATTCGCACGATGCAATGTCTTGGTGAATGATGGATCATTCCAGACTGTCCCCGGGCGCGCACTCGGCACGTGCTGGCCCCGCTTTTGAGTCTTGCGTGTGGAGGCGATAAGTTTAGAATGGATCTGCTTGCACTTGCTCAGGTTACTACAGACCGTTCTCCATACATCCCCAGAGATAGCCTCCGACATTTCTAGGTACTTCACACTACGAATCTCTACTCTCTACACTACGCTCCACGCATCCTTCTCGTACATTCGACCTTCGACCTTCGACCTTCGTCGCCGCCTGATTTGTAGTACTTGGACGCGGAATTATTGCGTACGCCGTCGTAGCCTGGTCTGCAGCGCAGCGCAGCGCAGCAACCCCCCTTCCGTTCACTCACCCCGACTTCGTGCTAGCCCGAGAGCCACCCGCCCCGGCTCCGGCTTGTCTAAAGCACTTATCGAGCTGCTACTCCACCTCATCCACACCTCCTTCGCCCGCTCCTCTTCTACCCCCATCCAACATCCTCAACACCACCACCTAGCGATCATCGCGGTCTGTTCGTGGCATCTATTAATCTCATCCTTTGAGGACTCTGAGAGCTACTCTCATCGTCGTACGCTTCCCCCATTCATTCATCCATCCTGAGACACTTCGTCGTTGTCCCGTACAACGTCACCGCTCTGTTCGCTGACACCACGACCAGTCTTACTCCATCATGGCATCCAACTCACAAACAAACCCGGATACCTTGGTGACCCTCAAGATCAATGTTGAGGGCACCAACCGTAGATTCAAGCTCCCTCTTCGTGATCTCGGTGCTAGTACTCTCCCCGATAAGGTGCGTTCTTATCCTCCCGAGCGACCGACAAGGCTCTCAGCCTTAAAGGCGATGACCATCATATCCACCACCACATCCCTCATAGCAAAGTTGACGATTGACTGACGTATCATCTCTACAGCTTCGCTTCTTACTCTCTATCCCACCCACCTCCGAGGCCATTTTCGAGCGATATTCCGACAGTGCAGCATCCTTTGTAGTTCTTGACTCGGAAAACGCCTCCGTTTACAAACAACTCTATCGTGCAGCAAAAGCCAAGCTAAAGTTGAGACTCAAGGTCACAGTCAAGGACAAGGAACCAGTCACATCAAAGCCAGCGACGGTTGAAGATGAGGAGTCTATCCCAGTCAGCCCGGTTGAAGCTACATCGACCGAACCTCAACAACAAATACAGGCAGAAGTGGTACCTGAACCTACGTCCGACATGAGCTCTGTTGAACAAACTATTGCTCCAGGTTCTGTTGCAGAGATTCAACGTGGATTGGAGGAACTCATCATCAACCAGCCTCGTTATTACGCCAGCAAGGAGCCTGAGGCCCGCCACACCAGCATTAATGCATCAGGTGCTCCTACTGCTTCAGGTTGCACCCGCTTCATGAATAATACCATGAACACCGCTGCCGGCAATATTTGCGACGGCGTTCCTGTTTCTCGAGCTACTAGAGAGTACTGGTCCCAGGCTTTTCAAGATCGTCAACATGCTATCCTAAACCAGGCTGCCCCACAAATCACTTGCAACATTTTCTCCGTCTACTGTAATCACTGCCAGGATTCTATCCCAGACGAGCACTTTCACTGCAGCACCTGTGATGATGGTGATTTTGATCTTTGCCAGAAGTGCGTCGCTGATGGCGTTCGATGTGGCGGTGATGAACATTGGATGATTAAGCGCTTCTTTAAGCACGGCAAGGTCATTAACAGCACCACTGAAACTATTAAACCTAAACCAAAGGTTCTAGCTCCGGCTCCATCTCCTCTCTTGGAGTCTGAGGACACTCTCCTCCTTGCCGAGTCAAAGATGCCAATCGCCACTCGTACTTGCAACTGCTGCATTCAAGGTAAGTGTGCGGACTGTGGGGCCACGAAATAGTATGCTGACTTATTATCAGAACTCACAGAGGAGAACTTTGTCACTTGTACTTCTTGTGATGACTTTGATCTCTGCATCAACTGCCACGTTGACGTTCAGCATGGTCACCACCCTAAGCATGGCTTTGTCCCTGCTGTTGAGGACGCAAACCTCAGCGTGGTTGCGCAAGCCCTTCTTGGACCAGGCCGCAACATTGGTCACAATGCGGTTTGTGATGGATGTGACAAGTACATCTATGGTGTTCGACACAAGTGCCTCGACTGCCCGGACTGGGATTTCTGCTCAACTTGCGTACCAAACGCCAACTTTATTCACCCCAACCACAGATTCGTTCCCATCTATGAGCCACTCAATGACCTTGCTGCACTTCACCGTTCCTACAGCAGCAAGGCTCGTCACCACGGCATTTACTGCGATGGTCCTCTTTGCAAGGCCGGCAACCAAACTTATATCAAGGGTGATCGATACAAGTGCGCAGTCTGCCATGATACAGACTTCTGTGCTAGCTGCGAAGCTAGCCCTTCCAACCCTCACAACCAAACACACCCTCTCATCAAGTTCAAGACACCAGTTCGCAATGTCAGTGTTACTACTTTGGGTGATCACGAGGATGGAAAGCAAATGGCTGTGATGGGAGACCGTCTCCGCCGCACCACACACAAGGCTACCGAGACTACCCAAACCCAGTCGGCCAACGCTGCAACTCAAGTCCAGACAGTTGCTGACCTTCAACCTACCGAGCCAGTCAAATATGAGGAGACTCGTGGAGTCGAGGCACCCAAGACCCCAGAGCCAGAGCCAAAGGTTGAGGAGGTCAAGGAACTTCCAGCTGAGCGCTCCGAGGACTTGGTTGCACACTTTGTCCGAGATGTCATTGCTGACGGCACTATTCTCCCACCAAACTGTGTCTTTGAGCAAACTTGGTACCTTCGCAACAGCGGAAACACTTCATGGCCTGCTGGATGCCGCGTCAAGTTTGTCAGCGGCAACAACATGTGTGCCATTGACCCCGCACACCCAGCTAGCGTTCACGAGCTCATCTCCGCCGGTGAGAGCACTACTTGCTACACTGAGGTTGCTCCTGGCCAGGAGATGGGTTTCACCGTCTTGTTGAGAACTCCTAGCCGCCCTGGTAATGTAGTCTCATACTGGCGTCTTACTGGTCCAGACGGCGACAAGTTTGGTCACAGACTGTGGTGTGATGTCACTGTTGCACCTCAGGAGGAGCCAGTTGTCAAGGAAGAGCCAAAAGAGGAGTCCGTTGAGATTAAGGCCGAGCCAGAGCGCAGCCAAATGATCTTCCCCACATTGGATAAGGAATCTCCATCAAACAGCATTCATGAGCAGGCTCCAGTTGCAGCTCCTATCGCATCTCCTGCTGCATCAATTCAAGATGATGACTTTGAGGATTTTGTAGAGGAGCTTGACGACGAGACCGATGATGGATTCATGACAGACGAGGAATATGATATCCTCGATGCCAGTGATGAGGAATATCTTGCCGAGCAAGAAAAGTCCAGAAAGTAAGATATTTACGGTTTGGGCAAGGGTTGATTAGCAGTGGTACGATAGTAAGTGGTAAATGGATGAATAGGCGCAAGATTGACACAAGCTCTGGATAGCGGAATATGATGGGAAGGTTGTCCTTTGGGGGTTTATCCGGGGCAAATTGGGGGTGTTTTTTTTATTATTTCGTGTTTTTTTGTCTTTTATTTTCCACGTGTGTAATAGGAAGGAATTCTCTCTCTTTTTTTTTTACTTGGCTTCTCCTTTTTCATGACTTGCTTTTGACGTTTCTGGGTTTCATGATGATATTGTGATGCCACTCTTTCTTTGATGATGAATCAATAGCAACGAGCAAATGAGGATGGAAGTGGAGGTGTGAAGGCCATATTCTAATCCATCAGCATACATAACAAGTCACGTTTGAGAGGATGTTATACGGATGCTGATACGTAGGGAATGGATTTGTTGAATGGCCTTCTTCTCAAGGGATTGGGTTCATGGAGGAAAGGAATGGAAAGGAATGGAATACTCTCTACTCATTTGTTATGGCTCTTTTTCTTTTTTAGGTATGGTAGTTAGGGTTGTTAGTTTGGGAATATGAAATATGAATGAAAAGCAAATGATGTAAGATGAAATGATGGTTCTTTTTTTATTGGAATATACAAGTAGTCTATAGATATTAGGTTTCTAGTTTCTCGTTTGTGAAGTATGGGGATGGGGGGGGAGTTGAGGGATTCATTTGTTCGTCTTTCTTCGGGTTTGGATTTTGGGTTGAGAATGGGGAGGTGGGGAGACGGGAGAGAGGATGGATGGGGGTTGTTCTGTGTTTTGTGTTTTGTGGGAGGGGAGGTTAAGGGTGAGGGTGAGGGTGAGGGTAAGGGTGATTTGTGTGTCTTGGGGGTTATGGGGTTTTGTTTGCTTTTTGGGTATTGGGTGTGTCTTTGGTGTACTTTCTTGTTCTTGTCGTGGGTTGGAGGGTGAGGGGATTGGGGGATTGGAGAGAGAGAGCGCGGTCGTGAGGAAGGGTAGCTAGTGTAGTGGTTTGGGTCAATTCTGTCTGATGTGATGGAATGCGGAAGGATTGGGGAGGAGAATGAGAGAATGAAAGGGCGGTGAGTTGATTCTTAGTATATGGTATCTTGGTGGTGTTGGGAAGGTGGTGGTGACTGGGAGGAGCGGGGGAGTACGTGGAGTTAGTATCCGTTATAAGATACAGTACTGTAGGATACGTGAGTGTAAGAGTGTGAACCTAGTTAGCAAGGTTATTTATACACCATTTTTAGCCCTCGAGGGGGGATTCGTGGCCTGATATATCATATTGTCTCTCATACTAATCGAATGGTTCTGCATGGGATGGATGGGAAAGAGAGGTGATTATTAAGTAATCCGATCTCGGGTAAGTTAGGATATTTGAGAGCGTAACTTACGTGTTTTAGGAAGGTAAGGTGCTAATTTTGGAGATGTGACGTTTGGTTGTGTATTTGGGTATCATATATATGTATGCTAGAGGGATGTTTTAGGGGTTTGTGAGAATTGTTGATTGATATATATACAGGGGTCAGGAAGAAATGTAGGACGTGGGGTGTAGTAAATTCCTCTGCCTATATCTCGCTTAATTGTGAGGAATCTAGGAAAGACTAGGATGATAAGGCTCGAAGGTGTAAGATGAGGGGATGAGGAGATATGCGAGTTGGTTTTGTGGTGAGTTCGTTATTGTAGGTGCATCGGTTTTGGGGATTGGATATATGAGATATGATGGTTAATAGTATACTTTGCTAAGACGAGATATTGGAGGTTGGCAGGTTGCTTGATGATATATACGAGTATGGAGTTCTTTTTGAGAAGAGGGTTCTTGTATAGATTACACGGATGCTGGTTTTAGTATTGATGTTAGTGGGATTATGAAGTCTGAACCTTTATTAGGATGGATTAGATATATTGTAGTATATTACAGGGTAACAGAAACTCCAAGTATAATATAGAAGAAGCTATCACATCGCTCAGAAGAGGTGAGTCGCTCGTGTAGGATGCCATATATGGGTTTGAGATGGAATATCAGGAATAATAGAGCGACTACTGGAAAGTCTAAAGATAGAATACCTATTGTAAGATTACTTGTTTTTTAGGCTTCTTAAGTTTCAACTAGTATTTTGTAATGTAAGTCTTAACACCCAACGCTCGGCATCTGGAATTCCATTCCATTCCAGACACCCCCCCTAGAATATTCCGCTCCTTTTATAGGAAGGTCTAGAATTATTCTATTCTATTACCCCGATTCCATAGAAGTTCCATAGAATCTTACACGTAACACAGAAAAAAGACAATCCGGCCCCGCGGACTAATAGGAAGCCTTAACAACATTAAATAATATAGATTCTTATTAATACTATTAATACTATAAGTCAACTATTACTATATCGCCTCTATATACTACCCTAGATAGACAGAGAGCCTCTATATCATCTAGTAGCTCTCCTATACCTCGAATATCGCTAAACTATAATCGTAGGCGTAGTACTACTGGCCCTTCGTAAGCTCCCGGTAGTCCTCTCCGAGGTATACAAAGCCTACGAAGCTCTAATTTACTAAGTCTACAAGCTAAAATTGGTAGGATGAGTAATTAGTTATTACGTGTACTAGAATTCCATGGAATAGGGTCCATTTGCCGAGCGTTGTTAACACCTAAGTGGTGGGATTTTGTTGGTTAGCTATAGAGAGAATCCCATGTAAGATTACTATTATCCCCTTTCGTAATCTTAGCTGTCATCTGTACGGTATATAAATCTCATACATCAGTTTAAATTTTGCTATGGAATTTCCGTCTCTTTTGCGGATACATATATGCGAGCGTACAGTACTGTACCATACCACCCCAACGAAAGCCATCCTATCCGCTAATCTCAAGCCCGCTGCCTCACTTGGTGCTTAGAACACATTCCTTCATCGTAAGAATCAGTTTTTGGTCGGTATCATGTTTTTCTCAGCTTTCCATACGGATCAAACTCTATCCTTCGCCCGCACTTTTCTACTTTCCGGCTCTTGCCCTTCTTTAGGGGAATCCAAATTGGAAAGGAAAGTATCGGAGGGCCTACTAGAATTCGATCGATACTTGAATCCAGCGAGTGTAGAAGAGCATTAATTTTTAAATAGCCGACAAGAAGGGTGGTATATATATAGGGGATATGGAAAATCGACTCTCGCTGTTCTACAACGGCTATCGTGGTTCTTTGTCTTCTGTTTGTGATTTTCTTGGATCCTCTAATCGATTGGGGAGATGATTATAAGGTTGGAGAGGTTGCTTCTTTATCTGATACTCGGTTTAGACGGTGTTTTCAAAAGCAACTAGAGTCTAGGGACCTTGATAACGCCCCGGCGATTTGATGCTTCAGATTTCATGGTGGTCTTCAATGCGTTTTCTCTTTTCTCTTTTGCAGGTTGCTGAAACTCTCACCTGTAAGATGCTTGTAGAATAACAACTTTAGATGTCAGACCCAGATTTTGGGTTGGCCTAAAGGCTGAGTATCCATTTGAACAGTTACTATATCACCTTATCTTACGGTAGGAAGTAGCATGCGAATACCAGTGCTAAGGGTCACTCGGGCGATTGAAAACCTGTTCATGGATTGGTTAGCATATTTGGTGAGCGCTCTCCATGCTTTCACAAGGGATTTACTTTATATTCCCACTCGAATCCCACAGATGAATCAATCAAGAGAAAGATTTCCCATCAAAAGTGCTCCCCGACTTCAACAGAAACCCCACCCCCATACCAAAGATCCCGAGTTCGAATTTCAAGTCCCCTTTCTGCCCCAATGTACCACTCAAGCCCAACATGCTCTCCTCTCCCCTTCTCTTGAAGATTCTCTTGTGGAAAACACTCATCCTCAAGCCAACGATTCAAAGACTCAATTTTACTTATCCACAACTCCATCGCTTCCCTCTCACCATGTTCATCCTTCCTAACGAAACGAGCCACCGTCATATGACTCGAAGTAGTCTCATATCTCGCCGCAACCTCAACTCCATTCCTCGAACAAATATCCGAAGAGTCTGAGCGGAGGTGTAGGTACGTATACCTATCCTCACTTGCATCATCTCTATCCTCACTTGCACCATCCCTATCCTCACCAGCCGCAGGCACGAAGGAAAGAGCCACAGCCGCGTCGTCAAAATTCAGTTTCGGTTTGACAAGCCGCGTTCGATGATCGAGCGTGTAGTTGACCATTTCCTTCAAGCAAGGTTGGAGCTTCTTTGCACATGAGTTTACCTCTTCTGTGGTGGCCGTATGTACGATTTCGAGAACTGTCATGTGTAATGATTCAAGCGGAGTTGTCCATATACCTAGCAAATCAATATGTCAGAATGATAACTCAGATCGATGTGAGATAGGATTTCCACGTACCAGGAGCCAGGGTAAGTAATTCCTTCTGAATTTCCGCCACCAGTCTCATCACAGCTTCTGTAGGTCTCGCCCAAATACACAAATTGTTTCTTGGGTCAACATATTTCGGGTCGTTGAGGTAATTGATTAGGTATTGATCGGGTCTCACGCCTTTGAAATCATCGCTCAGTAGATGGTGCTTCTGTTCTTCGTTTCTCTTACTTCGTTGAGAATCGCAAAGGTGTTGGATGATCACGGGGTTATTGTTCGCGCTCTTGAGAAAGTCTTCGAACATTGTTGAGCAGCTGGAGGGGTATTGGTATGGGTAGGGCGGCGGCCGTTTATTGGGTTGCTGCATGCGTGATGTGGTAGGTATGAATCACATGGTAAGCCTCGATACTTACCCCACATTTACGCAGGTGATGGACAAATGAGGGCAGTTGTATTGGATCAACCTGAATTTTTGGTGTGGTTGTCCATAAAAAAAGATAACTCAAACCCCTTGGAATCGATGTTTTTGATCCCCAAAGCAAAAGTTTTGACATGAAAAATAAAACACCTTTTCCTGCCGCTTTGATTCCATCCCTACCCACACTCTATATCCTTCGGCTAAAACAACATGCAATAGGTGTTTAAGGGAAATTGTATTTTTATTTAATAGCTTCCAATACTTCAAGATCTCCAAAAAGTACACCACATCTCTTTTCAACTGCAGTATACGGCAAGGAGAAAGAAAAAAAACAACCCTCCAGCGAACATCTCACAAGGGTATTTCCTAGAAAAGGTTATCTGCCATCACCATCAAACTCGACGCTCTCAGAACCCAACATCCTATACCGTCTACTTCCATGAGTAATGCCAGTATCTCGTTATGTTGCACATCGCAGTTCTCATGCCTCTGACTCTCGACTGCGCCGGTAAGATTACAATAGTGGTTCTGAATCAACACTGCAGATCCTCGACGGTTTCATCGCATATCGCACTTTTTGCGTCGCTGAGTCGGTGATGCTAAAGCGAGAGGCAAGAATAATTAAGATGATGATTCCGCAGAATTTGGATGTAGCGACCAAAAAAAGGTAATTTGAGTATCTGAAATTTACCGGAAGAAACTACGGGTTTAGTACCTACTATCGCAGGACTTAAGATCTTACTCCTTATAGGTATATTCTGAAGTAAAGAAGCTTTTTTCTATTACATCTATCGACAACATACCCTTCAATATATAAATTTCTTACATTCTAAGAACCACAAACTAAAAAAAGTAACTCTAGCCTCTAAGTTACCTAGGTAGTGAATATCTTAATCCATTACCGCAAACGCACGCTCTAGCTTGTAGTGACGCCACACACCCAGCTCCAGCCACAAATGACGTAATCTCCCCTCCAGCCCACCCCACATGCGGAATTCACCCCTCCGTCATAGGCAAATATCAAATGCCATGTCGGGTACATAAAATCAGCAAGCTCATCCCTTGACACCACATTCCCTCAATCCTCTTTCAAAAAATCCATCAAGAAATCTTCTGTCACATAATCCAGATACCAGATATCGGAAAGAAAGAAAGAAAGAAAGAAAGAAAGAAAGAAAGAAAGAAAGAAAGAAAGAAAGAAAAAGTGAAAATGACAGGCACCGTCGAAAGCGCGAAGAATAAGGCCAAGGAGGTCGCGTGAGTGATCCCTGTCCTGTCCATGAAGAGAGAGAGAGGGAGGGGAAAAGAAGGGAGAAAAGGATAGAACAGTCACTGATGTAGATGGATTACAGGATCGAAGACTTCAACAAAGCCCGCGATCTCGCAAATGCAGCCGCGAAATCAGGAGCGTATTTATATCCCATCAAGGTATATTCCTCCCACCCCATCCCTCTCCCTCCCCGCCTCCCATATCCCGCCAGAAACCACCAAAAAAAGTTCAACTGTGTAATATAACTAACAAACCCCATCCAGGGAATATTCTACTTCCTAACCCACCGCACCCTCTGGACCCCCCTCCTCTCCAAACTCCTCCCCACCCTCTCCCTCTCCCTCGCCGTCGTAACAACCATGTTCCTCTTCGCCTACCTCCCCCAACTCGCAATCCTAATCTTCGTCAACGGTCCCCTCGCAGCATTCACCACCATCCTTTTAACCCTCTCCGAATCCTCCACCATCATCAACATCCTCTCGAAAATCTTTTTGCTGCAAGATGCGTTGGTCGATACCTTCGACGGAACCCTCGTCTCTCGGAACGAAACCGGGATTCTGGCTGAGGGAAGGGAGTTGAAGAGTGGGAATTTCCGGGATCCAATCGCGAAGCTGGGAAAGTTGGTGAAGCGGCCGTTGGAGAAGTATTCGCCCGAGGCGCTGGTGAGGTATGTGATGTATTTGCCGTTGAATTTTATTCCGGTCGTGGGGACGGTTATTTTTGTGCTTTTGCAGGGGAAGTCGAGGGGGAATACGATTCATACCAGGGTAAGTTTTTTTTTTTTTTTTGGATCTGATTCTTGCTCTTTGGGTTGGGAGGGAAGGGGGAATTGGGTGCTGATCTGATTGGAATAGTATTTTCAACTCAAGAAGTGGTCGAATTCCGAGAGAGAAGCTTGGTTGAAGGAGAATACCGCGGCGTATACAGCGTAAGTGAAAATCCCCATTCCTCAGCTCATCACATCCTTGTCTGGTCGTTTGCCATGTACCACGCTTCACGAGATTTTCATTTCAGCCTCACACCATGCGTTTGGCGGAGAATAATCTTCCATATTACTCCTATTCCTTAATTTCTGGAATACAAGGATGAGACAATTTGCGCTGGATGAGCTAACATATTCATAGATTTGGTACCGTTGCAACTCTACTTGAACTCATCCCATTTGCCTCAATTTTCTTCACATTCACCAATCAAGGTCAGAGACCATCCCTCTTATGATGTGGTTACGATACTAATATCCACTAGTTGGAGCTGCTCTTTTTGCAAGTGATATCGAGAAGAACAATACTCGTATGACTCAACTGAAAGGTGGTGCAGTGGAGGAGTTCAAAAAAACAGAGTAGAGGTGTACCATCTGCAGCTTCCCGTAATTTGACCCTGCTCGTACAAGCATGATCTGGTGGTTGATTTTGTGTGCGAGTCGCTTCAGGGAATGGTGTAACTTGAGCCAGTGTGACGATCCGGCACATATCCGCCTCGACTCATAAGGTTTACCTGTTGATTTCTAATCAGTTCGTCAGATAGGCGTCTTCTAGCGTTGCTTTTCGGAGGATGGGTCAGGAAAATTTCATATTGAATCGTTAATATGATATTTCGAGAAAAGATTCGGTGCCTCTCACTAAACTGCAACAAAATACATGGATTTTTCCCTCGCATGATTGATCTCGAATTCCCAAAAAATGCACATTGTACATGATCACCCCTCAATTGAGGATCCAGCAGCTCATAAGTTACAACATACCCGTTCCGTCTGCATAGGAAGAATCTCCCCGATGTTGTAAGGCAAGAGGTAGCTGTTGAGCAGCCAAGCAGCCCGCCTATTCCAACCGTTTTCTTGTGACTTTTCCGCAAAGAATTCGTTTGCTGATCCTGCAAACGGATCTTTGTTGAGGACTTGAGCTTCGAAAATAATTACTTGCATAGCGGGGGCTTATGCAGGCAGCATTGCTGCAGTGTGAAGGGAAATCATCCCTACGGCTGTCACGTTGAGGGCCTGCAGCGAAGCATATCGGAAGTTTCACCGAGTGGGGTACTTTCTTTGGATAAAGGTATTGATTGACTTTGAGATCGAGGAAGAACTGCGTTGGTATGGATAAGGCAAGACCAAGGAGGTTGGTGAAGACTCGTAAAGGCGTGATCTGACATGTCTCTTCAAAGACCTGGGAGCATTGTCAGCAGTTTGAAAATTTCAACTAGCCAAACCCCTTGAAAAATTATACTCAAAATACTTCTTTTACCTCCCTGTTGAAGCCTCCCATCGAGACGATCTTATTCAAAACTCCGCAATGCTCCGAGGATTCAGCCTCTCGAGATATCCGGGTCGAATCAGATGTGTGTTGATGCAGGAACGAGTGCCCTGGCTGCATATGTAGATCGGTTCGCTGCAGTGTCATTAGAGAGGGACTTAAATTTGATGCGGGTTACCTTCTTTCGTGTCACTCGAAGCGAGGAGATATGGAGTGCTAGGACCAAGTATTTCCCCAGGTCCCGGTAGATTGGGAAACTCATTCGCCCGGTTCCAGGAAACTGAACCAGATTACACCCATACTAGGAGACGAACTCGATTCTGTGTCCTCAATTGGTGTCTCCGTTCTCCAACCGAGATTTGTAGCGTCGATGCTGCTCCCTGCCTCTTTGGAAAGAAGCCCGGATGCTTGTTACCGTGGTCTTTTCCGTACGACGTCTTGAGAATTCGAGATGAAACACATTTGTTGATGTATTGGTCCAAAAATTGCGCGCCAGAAGCCGAGGGGCAGAAAATTTGGGCATGTGATGTTGCACCTCGAGACGAACCAGTACTCGGGTAAGAGCGAGGAGAGACATGTGGCCATGAATTTTGTGAGCAGAGGTCAAGGGAGACGGTTGAGGTGCCTTCCAACGGGCATCGTGTGCTGTTGGTGTTGTGTCTTGTTGCGGAGGATTGCGATTGCCCGTTGGAGGAAACCAACGTCTCTCGCTCCTGCCCTCTCCAGACAGCTAGCTATTGTACAGGTACCTACCTGCCTACACTGTCTTGTTAGGTACCTACTCAATGCTTCTACGGAGTAGACCTACCCGAGAGACAGTGCAGAACTAGCTGAGAGTGTACGGTAGGGCATACCTATACCAACTCTATGAAGTTCTTAGGCAAGTGCAGGCACAGCACATGGCACTTGCAGTCTGTACACTGCAGGATGCAGACGGAAAAGGCCGGCTACGTATCCGGAAGAACCTGAGTCTCTGAAGCCGTTCTGCACTTTCTCTCTCTCTCCTCTTCTCCTCTTCTCCTCCTCACCATCTCTCTCTCCTCTTCCTACGCTTTGCGAATTCTCCACCTCTGCTGCGTCATCTCCTTTCGTTTGCGTTGCTATATCTTGCTTCGCTGCCCACCCTCCTTTGGTCTCTTCTCTTTCCTCATCCAACCCTCTTGTGCTTGTCCTCTCTTGACATCCACCCCAATTCGACACGTCGTTCTGGTCCAAGGCAAGTATTTAGAGCATCAAGGCCCCGATCAACAGCTGCTTCCTGTCACTCTTTTCAATTCCACCCCATTCTTCCTTCGATTGTACTGTTTGAACTGCTTGTCCGTAAGTCTATTCTTGTTTCCGATACTCACAACAATCACTTGCTCTCGGTTCCTTGAGAAAATACTAAACCTTTCTCCTGTTCAGTCCATCATGAGAGCCGATTCTCGGAACGTTGGCCTCGCGTCAACTGTGTTGCTCCTGACATTGCTACCTGTCATCCACGGTCTGCCAGGCGTGCTCAACCCACAGCAACGAGATGTTTCTGGAGATTTCGCTCCTCCTGAATACAACGTTTATGAGCTTGGAAAGAGAGCTTACAAAGCCTATGGCCATTATTCCTATGGTGGTACTGGACCTCAGCCAAACATCCCGCAAACGACCTCGAAGGCTTCCACTACCGCCTCGAGCAGTCTGAGCGAAGCCACATCCTCATTGGACCCTCAAACTTCCAGTAAGCGAGAGCATGAATCCCATGCCTTTGTCGGCACAACTGACATTTCTTCTTTTAGAGCCTGCCACCACCTGTTCAAAATCGTCTCTTCGAGCATCGTCTTCTGCCACCTCAAAATCCTCGGTCAAATCATCTAGCAGCTCAAAGGTCATTGCCTCGACTGGTTTCTCCAATAGTCTACCCCTCCCTTTGAGCACTGGTAGTGGAAGTGTTGTCTCCAGCCCCGGATCCTCTCAAACTTCGGTTGATCCCGCAACGACAATCAGTACTGGCAGCAATAGCGGGGTTACAGCTATATCACCTTCCGAATCTTTACCATCGTTGACACCTTATGATCCCGGGTTTTCCATTCCAGCATTGTCTTCCGAGATTTCGGCTGATTCCACCTCCAAGATTATCACTGGTGGTAACAGCGGCGCCACGACCCCACCATTTCCTCAATCTTCGGCAACATCAACATCTTTGGATCCCTATGACAGCTTTCCCACAACATCCTCTGATGGGACTTCCACAATAGCCTCTTCGAGTTCCGCGTCCTCGTCTTCTGCTGTTTCTGACCCGTCTTTGTCGACTAGCGGCTTGGATGGTGCTTCCACAACCATCTCCTCTGAATTTGTCACATCGTCTTCAGCATCTTCTGTTTCTTCAGTTCCAGTAGCTGTACCATCTGGTTGTCATCGTAATAATTGCTTCCGACAGTTATTGAAAGCTTCTTTGAAGGGCAGCGAGTTCTGTGCAAGCTACACTGCCTCTCTCAACACTGCTACGATTGGTCTTCCAACTTTCGTATCTAAATGTGACAACACCCCGTCAAAAGTATCATCCGCATGCTCATGTGTTGTGACTGGATCTTCGGGTCCGTTGACATCAAGCAACAGCGGTACCCTCACGGACCCGTCCATTACAAAATCTAGCAGTAGCGGAAAGATCACTTCCACCAGCAACCTCGAGACATTTCCAACAATTGTCGATACAAGCTCGGCCTCCTCTGGAACATTACCACCAATCTTCCAGACACCATCTCCAAGTAGCACGAAATCTTCGTCGTCCGCTACCAAGACGTCGGCAAGTTCTTCATCTAGCCTCTCTGAATCTGGTTATGACGGAACCACTGTAATTACGTCTTCTATCTATTCCACAGTGACGATACCAGTAACAACAGTTCCATTCCCGTCAACCACGCCGAAGTACCCAAGCAGTAATTCGTCTTCAAATACTGGAATTGGAACAGGAACAGGTTCATTGCCTGCGTATAGTGAATCGTCGTTTGATCCAACTATAACACGAACTGTTCTATTGTCAACTGGCGTCTCTCAATCCAGCGTCTCGGGGGTCATTTCCTCTTCAAGTGATTCTGTCTCAGCGCCATACCCAACAAGCAATGCCACATCTATTGGTGTCGCCTCATCAACGGGTTTGCTCTCATCTCAAACTGGTGGTAGTGATCCAACTTTGACAGCCCCATATCCCGTTTCCAACTCGACTAGCATCATCTTGCCTACAAGAACCGGTGGTATCGAATCCAGCTCTGGACTGAGTTCGACTCGAGCTCCATACACTTCGTGCAATGGAAGTACAACTTTGTCATCGTCTGATCCAAGCTCAAGTGTATCTCGTGGAATTTCGTCAAAGAGTCGAACTGGTACGCGCCGCCCTACTGCAGGTGGTGGTAGTACTTCAGGAAATAGCGCGGGAACGACCTCAGTCCCCTATCCTACTGGTAACAACACAGAGACTTCGTTGCCTACTGGCACAGGCTTCTCGAGCCCAACTATTGGTCCTTTGACGACTGCCTCCGCTTCTGCCTCCAGTGTGTCGGGAGTGATTCCATCATCGACAGCATTTGAAAGCGTACCATATCCATTTGCATCCAACTCAACCTCACTGATTGGCCCCACGGGCACTGGAGGTCTGAGTACTTCGGTTGACAACAACAGTGGCGCGACCACCTCCTCGTCAATTGCTACGGGTATTCCTTTCCCTGTCACAGCCAATTCAACGATCATTCTCGGTCCTACTGGAACTGGCTCTCTCTCAACAAGTGCTAAGAGCAGCTCTACCTCTAAAGGTTTGGATCCATACGATCCCTCTCCCGCGCCTTCTTCTAGCTCTTCTGCAGGTGACCCAACAGTAACAAGCAGTTCGGCTCTTACTTCCTCAACGTCTGGTGGTGGAGGAGATCCAACAACTTCTGTGACGCACACCTTGGTTCCATATCAAAGTGACCCGGTTGACCCAGGCAGTTCCATACAGTCAAGCACGGTATCCGGCAATAGCGGTACCGGTTCTTCTGTCCACTCTTTGACTCCGTACCAAACAGCTCCCCCATCGCCAATCGCAACTGATCCTAAAAGCATCAGTTCCACTGCGTCAGGTTCTAGCGGCGAGACTGCAAGCGTGCCGGGAAAATCTGCTGCAACTACAACAACTTGCACACCCAAGCATGGTGCATCATACACGTCCAAGCCGGCATCAACTCCATCTACACTGCGTACTGTAACTAGCTCTCCTGGAATTGATGACCCGAGTGTAAGCACAGTTGCTAGCAATTCTGGCGCCCAAACTTCCAGTAAGACTTCGCTCCGTGCGTACATTAGCGACACCCCACCAGCCTCCACGCTCCCTCCTCCACGGGCTTATGGGGACCCAATACCAGACCAAGCCCACCATTATCCGCAGGCTGATCCCACCAAGGCAATTAAGGACACCAAACATCATCGCAAAGGTCACAATGCGGAAGCTGATGCCGAGCTTGAAGAAATGATTGAAAAATTTCTCAAGGAGTTTGAGAAGATCGAGAAAGGAATTAAGGAGGACGAGAATTGATGAGTCAACTTGAGGTTGATATATTCCCCTATCATTGACTTGCACCTATCTTTGCTTCGAGATTATGCTCTCATTTTTGTTGGAGAACTGAAATGTTCAATTTTGTGAGGGCTTTTGCCAATTTCTTCTGTTTTCCTATGTTCAATTTGCAAGTTGCTGAATCAGCATAAAACACATATTATGTCTACTTTGTCTGCGAAAAGATGTTAGAAGTTGAGTGGAATATGAGATTGTGATACGGTGAGGGGTAATGGAAGGAAGGTATACATAAATAGAGTTGATCCAACAATGGAAATTGGTTGAAAAGATTATGCGTTTTGTTTTGTTTTGACTGGGTGATTGTTTTCTGTGAGATCTAATGTAGATATGCGAATTTGGCTGTACGAACAGATACCTTGAGGTTACTCGATGATGAGTTCTCATAGCTGGTGAGCCACGGGCTTCATCATTGTCCGGGTCGGTTCGGTTCGGCTATCCGGCTCGGCTCGGTACATGAGATTTGTTTCGGAGCTCTCTGTACCTCAAGTGTAGCTCCCCACAGAGATTATGAAATGAATTGACAGAACAACAATCTCAAACAAGAATCATGTCTCGAACTCAGAGAAAGAAGACGGTATTGATAACCGGGTAAGCCCATGAGCAATTGCGTCCCTAATCCCATCCATTGAAAGCTCACCCGGATAGGATGGAGGGGTATCTTTACCTTCCAAAGCTCAATCAAAGCTAATTGAATGACATAGATGTGCCGGCGTGGGCATAGGCAATTGTCTTGCACGGGAGTTCCACGCGAAAGGACTACTCGTCATTGCGACGGCAAGGAATAAGGCGTCTCTGGCGGAACTGGAGGAGATGGGCATGGAGACGTTGAGTTTGGATGTTACGTCTGAGGAGAGTATTCGGGCAGCAAGGGAGGCGGTGGAGGGGTTGGTGGGGGATGGGGAATTGGATATTTTGGTTCATAATGCGTGGGTGTTTTTTTCTTTTTTCTTCTTCTTTTTTCGATTTTTCGATTTTTGGTTCTTCATATTTCGGGGTTGTCTTTTGCATTGGCTTTGGGATGGGAGAGGAGGAAAGGGAAAGGGTGTTGTGAGGGTTTATACACCATACTGATATTCCAACAGAGGCCGAAACCTCACCCTCCCCGCTCTCGACGTCCCCCTCTCCGAAGCCCGCCTCACCTTCGAAACCAACTTCTTCTCCATCGTCGCCCTGAACCAAGCCTTCGTTCCGCTCCTCATCGCCGCCTCCCCCTCTCTCATCCTCAACATCGGCTCCGTCGCCGCCATCGTCCCCTACACCTTCGGCTCCATCTACAACGCCTCCAAGGCCGCGCTACACTCTTACGCCAACACCCTACGTCTGGAGCTCGAGCCCTTTGGTGTGCGTGTTATGGTTGTTGTTACTGGGGGTGTGAAGAGTGATATTGCGCGCTCGGAACGTGTATTGCCGGGGGATAGTTTGTATTTGGAGGTTGAGGGAGAGCATAGGAGGAGGGTGGGACATAGTCAGGAGGGGGCGATGGATGCGAGGGTTTATGCGAGGGGGGTGGTGAGGGAGGCGTTGAGGCCGTGTCCGAGGGTTTGGTACTGGAGG